AAAATACGGAACTAAATTTTTTCGGAGTATAGAAAATCCCCACTAACCACGAAAAAAAAAAAAAAAAAGGAAAGAAAGAAAAAAAAAGAAAAGATAGACTGAGAAACAGTTGATCGAAATGTCTTTTTTAAACAAGCGATGAAGAAATGAAGGAAAACAAACAACAAAACAAAAATAATTAAGCGGGAAAACATGGATTTTGATCGACAATTGAACCTGTTCTTCATTTGCAGCTATTTGATCTTCTCACACGTATGTATACATTGCTGTTCTATTTACTGTTCACTGTATAAAATGAAGAGGCAAGGACTGTAGTATAGTAGGAATATTGATCACCATACAACACCTGCTTTCATTATTATTATTATTATTATTATTATTATTATTATTATTATTATTATTATTATCATTGTGATTATTATTATCATTATTATTGTTGTTGTTGTTTTATTTCCTTCTCTCTTGCACATTGAGAAGTTAACGTTTGAGCCACTGTGCCTCCTACTAATGTCCTTTTCATTCGTTATACTTAGTCGTTTTTGTTTCTTTCTATCCGTTTCCAATGACCAAATTTTCGCATTTTCAATTTCTACATCTCTTGGAGACCTGCTACACCGAAAATAACATTATTATTGTTGTTCTTATTTCTTCTTCTTATTATTATTAATAATAATAATATTAAAACGTTTCAAACCTTTCTTCCCAATAATCCGCCCATAGATCAAGTGACAACAAGACCTTTTCACTATCATTGCGTGCCTCTCATGAACAGTTTCAGAATCTTATATTTTTTTCCGTCGATATTTAAACTACTAAGAGTCCAAGTATTGTACCCTGTTCTCTTAAAAGCATAGGTACTACTGACATAGAGATCAAATTAGAACAAGACCTTTTTCTACTGCTATTACATGGCTGTAATGAGCAGTTCTGTATCTAATATTTTTTCTGTCTATCTTTAAATTACTAAGAGTTCAATCATTGCGCCCTGTTCTCTTAAAAACATCGGGGTTACTGATATAGGGATAAAGAGACAACAAGACCTTTTCTACTATCATTGTGTGGATATACTGAACGGTTCCGAATCTCATATTTTCTGTCCATGTTTAAATTACTAAGTGTTCAAGCATTGTGCCCTGTTCTCTTAAAAGTATAGGCATTACTGACAAGGATCAAGGGGCAGCAAGACCTTTTCTACTGTCATTGCGTGGCTGAAATGAGCGGTTCCGAATCTCATAAATTTTCTGTCTGTTTAAATTACTAAAAGTAAAATCGTTGCGCCCTGTTCTCTTAAAAGTATCGGCATTACTGACTGGGTATTAAGGCACGAGAAGACCTTTTCTACTGTCATTGCGAGGTTGATATGAGCGGTTCCAAAACTCATATTTTTCCATTTATTTTTAAATTACTGAAAGTGCAAGCGTTAAGTCCGGTTCTCTTATAAGCTTCGGGATTACTAACATAGGGACCAAGGGACAACAAGACCTTTTCTGCTGTCTGTATTGAACCGTTCCGTATCTTGTATTTTTCCATCTATGTTTACGTTACTAAGAGTTCAAACATTGCGCCCTGTTCTCTTATATGCATCGGGATCACTGACGATGCGACATTATGTTACTTTCTTTGGAATGGCATAAAATTCTAGTTATTTGCTAAAAACAAACTCACGACTAGGTGGCAATAGTTTATATGATTGTCTTACTAGCCACGGAGACGTATCCACAAGTGTATATCTCGGTGGATGGACTCGAAAAAATTCGGATTTTTCAGGCTACCGGCGGTGACAGTGAGTAAAAGAGAACGTGTAGAGTTTAGAGGAAACCGGAAACCCAATCCAAAACATGGGATAATTTGCTAATCGTGTTAAAAAGACAGGGGAGGAGTGTGAACCGGGCGAGAAACGAACTTAACTACTAGATAGATAGATAGATAGATAGATAGATAGATAGATACGAACCGTGTTAGATAAATAATGAACAGAGATAGATAGAAAGAATGAAAAAAAAGGAACTTTGATAAATAGAGAGATATATAATGATCAGACTGAGATAGATAGATAGATAGATATGAAAAGGACCGAGATAGATAGATAGATAGATAGATAGATAGATAGATAGATAGATATGAACATAGATAGATAGATATGAACCAAGATAGATAGATAGATAGATAGATAGATAGATAGATAGATATGAACCAATATAGATAGATGGATAGATAGATAGATATGAACCAATATAGATAGATGGATAGATAGATAGATAGATAGATATGAACCAATATAGATAGATAGATAGATAGATAGATAGATAGATATGAACCAATATAGATAGATAGATAGATAGATATGAACCAATATAGATAGATAGATAGATAGATAGATATAGATAGATAGATAGATAGATAGATATGAACCAATATAGATAGATAGATGGATAGATATGAAGAAATAAGATAGATAGATAGATGGATAGATATGAACAGGTAGATAGATAGATAGATA